AGGAAGTTAAGGCCAAAACAAATTGCTAACTCATTTTGCGCGCTGATAAAATCCATCCTGAGCATGGCTCTGTGTTTGCTAGGTAACAGACTCCATATTTATCCAATGGGGCTGAATTTTGGATATGTTATATTACACACCCATTGGAACAACTTTCATGAAGAATGTGGCCTCATACGAGCTATGTAGGTTGCTGAAACAAAGCTTGCAATATGACCTACGAAACTGGGCTGGCAGGGGACTGTAGCCAAAATTGAGTTTGTCTTTAAGCTCTTCATCCATTCATCCAAATTAGGCCCTAACATGCTTGAATTGCATGAATTATGCTCTCTTGCTCTATTTGCCTACAAAACACACAAAGGGAGGCAAATAACTTAGAAATCTAAGAAACTAAGCAAAAGGAGTAAGTAAATTTGGGCATGTATATGTATGAAATTATGAGCTTATCAAGCACCAAGTGACTTTTCTTTCCCATAATCGAACACGGCATTACGGACCTCCACTTCTTCAAAGGGCCTCTCGATCCAGGCTGCCCTCACCAAACTAATTGGACACCAATTTAGACCCTCCACTCCCCACCCCACTTCTTCATTGCTACTACAAAGATTCTTGAAAAAATTGATAGCCTCCAACTCAATATCGTTTTCGTTCTCAATAATACCACCGCCCTCCTTCTCCATCTGCTCAATGAAGTTTCTTTTCCTATAACCTGTGGCCATCATATGGAAATATTTGGTATTACTGTCTCCATCCCTCGCCTATTTAACTTTGTCTCTCTGTCTCCATTTCACTTTTTCTTTGTAAATAATATCCCCCACCAAAAACTGAAGATCCTCCCTCTCTTTTCTCGGCTCACTATCCAAACAATCCCACCCCTCCTGCAAATCAAGGGCCAGTAGTCTAGCTTTAGCCTCCGTCTTAGCAGTCTCCATATCTCCGATCACCTCCTTGCTCCACCGTTTCATCTTTGTTTTCAACAACTTGAGCCTACTCATAAATATGTAACCTTCCGAGCCAAAGAGTTGGTCTTCCCTCCACCAACCTTTAAGAACTCTCTTGAAATCCGGATGCTCTAACCACAAATTTTCAAACTGAAAAGGACCCGGACCCTATTTCAACTTAGTAGTATCCAACTCGATAAGGCAATGGTCAGAAAAAATCCTATGTATCACCGAGGGAAACATATCCTCCCAACCAGATGTAAATAAAAAACGGTTAAGCCTCCTACACACAACTTCCACTCTAAGATTAGACCAAATGAAAGATGCATTAAGAAAACAAGGATCACGCAAGTTGGTTTCCTGAATGAAACCATTAAAATCGCGCATACTCACTATCTCTCTTCCACCATTAGATTTCTCAGAAATAAATCTAACAACATTGAAATCACCACCAAGACATGATATAACCGTTATTTCATACTTTTTTATTATCTTTCTCTTAGATTCTTGTTATATTCTTGAGTGAGTTTAGTCCATTTTTACTTAGTTTTGTGTTTTATTAGGTTTTAAGAGTAAAGATGGAAAAGCAAGCAAAATGAGCAATTTTGGGATTGAAATATAATGTGAAATCCTGGGAGCATAATGTGCTGTGATATCAAATTCGACTCCGATTGTTCCCATTTTCTCTAAGAGATAAAGCAACAAAATGGTTAGACTCTCTTCCAGAAGCATCCATAAATTCTTGGATTGATTTATCTAATAAATTTCTTTCCAAATTTTTCCCTGCTCATAAAACCAAGCTTTGATAGCAAATATTATGAGTTTTCGTCAACAAGAGCGTGAACAATTTCATGAATGTTGGGAGCAATATAAGGATTTGTTTCTTCAATGCCCTCATCATGGTTTCGACATATGGCAAAAAGTTCACTACTTTTATAGAGAGTTGAATCCGCAAAGCAGGAGCATGGTAGATTCAATAGTTGGTGGAAGCTTAATGGACAAGACTGTAGATGAAGCCATAATTGCATTTGAGACAATTTGTGAGAACTCTGAGCATTGGGACTTTCCTACAAAAGATTCAAGAGTTGCACCTACATCATCGACACAGAAAGGAGGCATCTATGAAGTTAGTGCCAGCACGGGTTTAGAAACACAAGTTACAGCTCTCACAAAACTTCTCACACCACTGGTACATAAGGTAACTGCACAACCATGTAATTTATGTGCTAGCATCGCCCACGACACTGCAACTTGCCCATCGAATCCTATCCTAGAAGATATGCAAGAGGTCAATGCATTCAATGAAAGGCCCCAAAATGATTCTTATTCCAACACCTATAATCAAGGGTGGAGATAACACCCAAACTTCTCTTGGAGCAATTCACAGAATACAATGGGACCCACAAATTCATCAGGGTCATACCAACAGCCTTATCAAGCTCCTCCACCACAACAAGAAGATCCTTCTATCAAGGAGATGCTCTCTCAACTCTTGAAAAAATCAGAAAGATATGAACAAGAGGTTGCATCACTCAAACAAAGTCAATTAGTGTTGGAAAAGAGTCAATCCAAATTTGAGGTTCAGTTGGGACAAATAGCTACTACTCTAAACAAATTGGAGAGAGCACAAGGTCAATTTCCAAGCCAAATAGAAGCTAATCCTAGGAATCATGAGCATGTTCAAGCTATTACCACTTTGAGAAGTGGAAAAGTGATTGATAATAAGATTGGAAATCCAAAGATCGATGATAAAGAGGAAGATGAAGGCATGGCAAAAAGGGAACAACAATTTGACAAGAAATTTAGGGGCTCTTTGAAATATGAAAGTGACGCCACTCCTGTTGACAAAGTTACCGAATCTTTGCAGCATGTACCTCATACTTCAAACATAGCAACTCACGGTCCTCTTCCTTTCCCTCAACATGACAAACATGCTAGAAAAGAGAAAAATAAAGGAGACATTATGGAGCAATTTAAGAAGGTGCAAATTAATATCCCTTTACTTGATGTAATCAAACAAATCCCTTCCTATGCAAAGTTTTTAAAGGATATTTGCACCAACAAAAGGAGGTTTGAAGAGCATGAACAAGTGATGTTATCGGAAAACGTGAGTGCTGTGCTTCAAAGAAAGTTTCCACCCAAGCTTCAAGATCCCAAAAGCTTTACAATCCCGTGCACCATTGGAAAAAGAAAATTTGACAAAGCATTGCTTGATTTGGGAGCAAGTGTGAACTTAATGCCCTACTCTGTATATGAACAACTTGGGTTGGGGGAACTAAAGTATGTCACGATCTCTTTGCTATTCGCGGATCGTTCTGTGAAGTACCCAAGAGGCATTGTTGAAGATGTACTTATCCATGTTGATCAACTTATCCTCCCTGCTGACTTCATCGTCTTGGATATGGAGGAAGCTGAAATTTCGGGTCATGAACTCCCTCTCATCCTTGGGAGACCTTTCATGGCTACTGCAGGTACGCAAATTGATGTTAAATCTAGTTAACTGACCATGAATGTGCAAGATACTACTATAAATTTTCAGGTATTTGAAGGTTTGAAAAGACCCTTGGATCCTTATGATTGTTTTCACGTCGAAGTTGTGGATCAAATTATAGAGAAGACATTCATTGAATTGAGCCTCACAAATCTTATAGAGAATATTGATACTTTGACGGCACAAACCAAGACTATTGAGGTGACGTACCTCGATGATCCCTCAGATATGTGAAGATCGTTGAGTCCAGCTGAAGACTTTAAATTTAGCGCTTCTTGGGAGGCAACCCATGTTTTGGATGCATGATGATGATGAGAGGATCTTGGCATTTGCAGCACTTCCTACTCGAGATTATATGCCCAGGGAGCTCTAAACCTCACTCTTTACTCTTTATTTTCTTCTTTTAATTTTTTTTTTCCCTTTACTTGATTCATTGCATGCATTTTGATTCTTTTTACATTGAGGACAATGTTTCATTTAAGTTTGGGGGGAATGTTTTGCTTTATTGCTTGTTTTTGTGTTTTGCAAAATTTTAATGTCTGAAAACGTAGGGTTTTGTTTTGCTTAAAACTATTTTAATTGGTAACTGTTATGACAATTTGGTCCATGTTGCATTCTTTGTTTTCTCGTGTTGAATCTAACCATATAAAGAACGTTGAAATCGGACCAGCGGTTTGAAAGTTATGAGCTAAAATCTGAATAGAGGTTGAAACTGACAAAAACTGCATGTTGAAACTCTTTGTTTTCTTGGTTTGTTTGAGTCTTATTTTATTTCTTTTGTGTTTTTATGTAGTTCAGTAGTTAAGTTGTTGTTTTTAAAGTCACCAAACCCGTAAAAAGTTTTTAAATAAATAAATAAATTCTACAAAAAAAAAAATCCAAAAAGATTTTCTTTTTCCTTTTCTTGAGTCATTTTAGTTAAGCTTTCCACAAGTCAATGATAACACTTGAATTGTACTTGTTATATAGTTTTTGAGGATTGGTAACAATTATGTGGATTTCAAGTGTGATTCTTTAGTTAACTTTTTCTTACATGATTATTCTCATATTTTCAATGCACATGGCCAATTGAATGCAATTTGCTTTTGACTTGGAGTCTTATATGTGGATTTTAGTGTAATACTTGTATAACCCTTGTGAGTTTTTGTGCCTCATGCATATTCTTTTCTTGAGAGTTATATATTCTTTTCATGAGGGCATTATCATCTACTAGAACTTGCTTCAATATCTTTCAAGGCTTTGTATTGATTCACATGATTCTATCTAGGAAGTGATTAAGGCACCTAGGATCACCACCATGGCCAAACAAGCTTTTGTCCCTACTACATTATCCCTTAGATATCCCTTTGAGCCTAAATAAGCCTTTTCTTTCATGAACCATACTATCCTTAACCATAAACTTAAACACTTCATCCTACCTTGTTCTATGAAAATTAGTGGAGCTTTGAGTTTGGGGGAATTGCACCTTACCTTGTGAGTATCAAAGTTGTTGTGAAAAGAAAAAAAAAAAAAAGAAACAAAGATGAGTTTGAGGTTGGTGATTGTTAAAATTAAAAAAAAAAAAAAAAAAAAGACAAAAAAAGAAAAAACAAGAAAGAAAAAAAAAAAAAATTTGTTTCACTACCTCAATGTTGTCAAGATTAAAGAAGTTTGAGAAAAGATGTTGATCAAAATGAAGTTGAAGCCCAACAATGAAATTTGGCTTCCAATGAAGTACATAATTGGTGATACTGCAAGAGAAACAAGAGAATTTGCAATCCTTCATGGTTATCACGTGCTCTACTAACTCTCATAGAATATTTTTGTTTTCCATACCCTTTCTTTCTTTTAACCTTAACCCATAACCCCATTACAACTGTAATTTAAGACCTTTTGATCCTAGAAATTGTGTGAATTTAATTTGTGGATATGTGATATGAAGAGCAAGCTTATAAGATTTGATTTTGTTTTCATGCATTCATTTTTCTTGAGTGAAACACTTAACCCAAACTTCGAGCGTTTTAGTTGTGAGTGACATTCGTGGTGAGATTTGGAGTTGAAGCTTTGATTTGCATATACCTATCTGGGTTGAGTGAGTTGTATTGTTATTGGCTATTTCACACACTACACTTGAGAATGTTATGTACGGTTTTGTCAACTTTTGAATCATGCTTGTGGTTTATATGATGGTTATTTGATTCTTTAGAGTTATATACCTTGCGTGATTTATTGAGACTAATATGTGGAGGCCTAACATTCTTTTGAGTCTTTGTTTTGTTTTGCTTGAGGGCAAGCAAAGTCTAAGTTTCGGGGTGTATTTGATATAACCATTATTTCATACATTTTCATTATCTTTCTCTTAGATTCTTGCTATGTTCTTGAGTGAGTTTAGTCCATTTTTACTTAGTTTTGTGTTTTACTAGGAAAGGTCGTGGGGAACCCAACGCTGTTTAATTAAGATCATAGAATATTCATTTTGGACAACACACGTCCAAAATTAATTCCTCCATCAATTTTATCAGCATTACGACAATCGATTCGTTGTCTACTATATTTTAGCTTCGGCTCTTTTATAGCTCTTGCCATCTGGGTGCCGTTAACGACGCAGTCCATCTCCTGCTGCATATTCGGTTCACAAACACATCCATTCTCTCCCTTTCATCTTCAGAAGACATGTCGATACCTTCAGATGAGTCCGACGAAGATTGCATCTCTTCTTCAAGATCAACAGAATCTGGGCAAAAAGACTCACCCTCGTCTCCAACCGTTGGGATGAAAGACCCAGCCATAGATTCGCCCCCAGACTCCATCGGTTCAATTCGAAGTTGGGAGTCACCCCTATTTTGGTGCCTTCTCCTTGCAGATGAGGCTCCACACTTGGAGAAAAAAGCTGAGTCAACATTAGAACTAGAATCGATGCTTGTTGGTAAAAGAAAAAGGGTCAGGATCTAGTGAGAATAGCTATATGAGAACACCATTGGATATAATCCAACGACTTCGTGAAAAGCAATTGTAATTGAAACGGTTGTACTAGAATGAGTCCCTCAACTTGTTCTCTCTCCTCTCTCCTTCCTAAACAGCTGTTCAACTTTTTCACGCTCCCTCACTTTTTATTTTTTATTTTCAGACTCCCTCTTGTTCCTCTCAATACCTTCTCCTATTTTCTTTGGTCAAAATTGATACATTTCTCTCGAACTCCCCCTCTCATCTTTCTCTGCCCTCTCAATTTCTCTCCTTTCAAACTCTTTCTCTGTGTTGCTCTCTCAGTTTCTCTGCGTCGATCTCCCTTGTCGTAGTCGTCGTCATCACTCTCTCTCTCTCTCTCTCTCTCTCTCTCTCTCACACACACACACACACACAATTCAAAAATCGAGGTCCAAAAACCCTATTTACTGCTCTCATTTGATATCTTTTTCATTTTCCTCTTCGTTGTGTCCCTCTACCTATGTCGTCCCTCCTGCCGTTCTCTCGGTTGAAATGCCCAAAATCCCCATGTTGCTAGAACACCCAAGCCCTAATATCTGCGATCTCTTTGAGAGGGTAAAATATTTTCATACTCTCATAATATGTTTTGCATTTTCTATTGCATTCACTTAGTGTTGAGGATACAATCCTGGTAAACCAAAATAATTTATTTCTATGTTTGGAACATGATTGTGTCTCCCTGTGAGATTGAGAGATTGAGTGATTGAAGTCTATATCTTTGTTATTTCATTTTGCTTTGCCATTTCTGGTTCTTTTTTTTTGTTAGTATGTGGATCAATGTGTTTGTCTTTTTTGTTTATTGTTATCTGGGTTCATTTTATAGAATAAACTACATTGTCCTTTTACTTCATTTTTTGGAATATGCCATTGTTATTTCACTCTGCATTTTTTAGCTTTGAAATTTATATGTCTTTGATTGTTGGATTCATCCTAGTACACTTATTCTTGGCAATGGGGGTCCTTAATTCTTTGTTTTGGTCTTAATTCTTCATTTGGGTATGATCTAGTTGAATAATTCTGCAACTTGATCAACCCCATTGAATTATTTGACTTTCTGTTGGGTTTGACTTCTTTTTGCTGATGGATCTCAGCTTCATTGTGCCGAATTCGGGTTCTTTTCTTGCCTTTTTATTCATAAGGAGCAGATGATTTAAGACTATGCTCTTGTGTTGCTTTGGCAGAGTTTTATTTAACTTGGGGTTGGAACTCAAAGCATTAAATTAAAGAATTTGTGATTTTGACACTTTTGTTCTCATCTTAATAAACAAAAACCAATCCAAGAATTTTGCAATGCAAATGTTTGAGTTTATTGTTTTTAAGATTGAAGTTCAAACTTCAATCACTCAATCTCTCAATCTCGCAGAGAGACAATCATGTTCCAAACATAGAAAAAAATTATTTTGGTTTACCAGGATTGTATCCTCAACAAGCGCATTTTATTTGTAGACATTAACATGGGTCAACTTACTTGAATAATTTCCAATGCCACGAAAACTGCAAAAGCTGCACCAAATGATAGATCAAGAAACTCTGGCTGGAAAAGAAATATGCAGTGAGCATATCTACTACCGATAAAATGAAGCAAATTTATATTGTTTCAAACACAACTACTACCTGCACATAGAGGGAGGAGCCCTTAAGTGGAAACCTAGAAATTAAAGCCCTAAAATCCCCAAAATATAAAAATAAAAACACTAAGTGAATGCAACAGAAAATGCAAAACATATTATGAGAGTACGAAAAATATATTACCCTCTCAAAGAGATCTCAGTTCAATTGCAATTTCTCAGCTTCTTGTAAGGTTTGAATTTTCAAAGAGACGAAAGGGAGTAGTTGGATTGGAGGTTTGACCAAGGGGAAGGAAATGGAGTATGGCCCAAATTTCTTAGTGGGGCTGGAAGAGAGGAACTTGTAGCTGATGAAGTTGTTGTGGTGTGAGGAAGGGGGTGAGTAGACGCAAATCTAGTCGATCTTGGAGGAAGAATTGACGCCGGACCATTGGATGAAGGCTGAGACCCCCGATTTGGAGAGAGTGGTTTTGGTTAGCGACTGAAATATTTTGATAAGTTGGCGTGAAGAAGGTGAATATGAAGGGGAGGAGAAAGTGGGAGTTTTTGAGTTGTAAGATTTTGGGGTGAAAATGTTAAGAAAGAATTAATGGGAGGAAGAAAGATTTTGGGGTTTCTCTGGTAAACGGAGGAAGGAAGTAAGAAGCACTATTGGAAAAGGAGCATCAGGACACGTGGACTAAGAGGGAAATGCAGCATATCCATTTCTATGGTAAGCTTGCTTTTTCTCTTCAGCCGTTCAGATGATTTTGGATGGTTAAGATTGATCCTCGTATAGTGTTCTCATTTTAGTGTTCTCACCTAATCCGAGTTGAAATGGGCTTATTTTTTGGTTCTGCATTGTCGTTTGAACCCAAGTTAGCTTCTCTTTTACCAATTGGCCCATCTGCCAATTTCAGGCCCAACAGAACACCACCCTCACACAAATCACCTGTGGGCCTGACCTGTGAAGAGGCCCGATAAGAGCCCCCAATTAACGGAGCACCGTCATACCCCTTGTTAACACTTGGCCCAGCCTGCAGTTTCTGCCCACAGAAAAGCCCGCCTCACTCCACGCGAAACTGGGCCCACCGACTTCAAGCCGTCGCACGTGCGTCTCCTGAGAAGACGCAGCTTGGTCCTCTCACAGCCGGTTTCAGTGCCTCGAGCCCTACCCACCTAATCTTTTCTGTGATTGTGAACCCTCCTCATCCAACGATGTGACTGATCGTGCGCCGGAGTCCATCGTCGTGAGGGTTTAGACATATCGGAACCCACCATCAACCCACTACGCAGATAGGCATGTTGAGGATTTGATGCTAGCAAGTGCGTTTTAGATGCTAGCATACAGTTCCAAATATCACTGTTGGTTCAAACAAATTTTTTGACGATGTTTCTTATTTTTATTTCTTTCTGCTGCAGAAAGTTTCAATTCATTGTGATTGAGCTTTTGGGAAGGCTTTGTTTGTCATTGGCTTCACATTCGCTGTTTGGTTGAGGTCTTCAACATGGTTAGCTTCTTTTTTTTTTTTTCATAATTATTAGTGTTATTGTTATTTTGTCTTCTCTGTTAGATATGATTAAGTTGTTCCTTCTGTTTTTATTCTCAGGAAGTGTTCAGGAGGGCCATTTTGCAACCTGGCCCACCAGAAAGTTTTGCTCTACAGACAGTTCAACAAGTTATAAAACCTCAGGTAACCCATTAGATCCCTCATGTTCAGGGTTAAGTTTTAACAATATTATGTGGTACCCAATAAAAAAGATTTTGATAAGTTGAGTCTTCCTGTAAGTGCATGTATAGTGATTTATGGTTTTGTGCCTGAAAACTGAAACACAAGTATGATTTCGGTCTCTTGCTACATTTAGATACACATGTTTTGTTAACTTTGTCCTTTAACTCCAATTGCTAATTTACCAATTAGTGTTTCACTTGATTCAATGCTCGATCCTTGGTGGGCGGTAGTCATCATTGCATTGCTTTCTTCACATACATCCTGATTGCACATGATGACATGTACAATTATCGTGATACATCTAACGACAAGTCAAACATATGAAACTTTAGCCTTTTGGATGTCGATGTTTGGTCAATTCTAATTAGGCCAATTGATTTCTTCATGACAGAAACAGACAAAGTTAGTCCAAGATGAGAATCAATTGTTAGAAAATATCCTCCGGACATTGCTTCAGGAACTGGTGGTATGTTTCTCTTGCTGGTACTTGTTCATCGGATGTTTTGATTGTTTGATTGTACTTGTAGACTACTGTATTTCTACTTTATTCTGCATATTTTAGCGCGGTTTGTGGTCCATGGGTAAATTAATGCTTGTGATATGCTAAAAAAAGAAGACCCTTTGCTTATTGACTTCACAGTGGTGTAGTCTGTCCAAACAAGAAGCAAATAGTGTTGATCCTGTGTTTCTACATGGTCCATTTACTTCACAACTTTGGGTTTTGACCAAAAAAAAAAAATTGGGGTCAGGATGCTGCTAGGGTTTGGAATTGTGTCTGGTTGGTGGATTATTTGGGTTTTAGGGCTGATAGGAACATACCTACTCTTTGGAGATGCATAATGTTGTCATACCTCTGGATTGATTGGTCGGAAGACCGGGTAGTCTTTGCAGATAGGTCGAGGAAATGGACTTTAAATGGAAAGAACTAGAATTTGAGCATTTTGTAGGCTTTATTGCCAAAATATTTTAGGGATATTTCTTTGTGTTAAGTTCATCTTGATTGGGTGGGTATTATAATTTGATTACTCTGTTGAGCTCTGATGGTGATGCTCAAAGTCACCTTTTAGTATATTTCAGGGTTCATGGAACTTTCCCTGAATCCTCACGGGATTCCACATTCCCAGAATTGTTGCACAACCTGCAGCAATCTTCAATTATATGCCTCATCTCAGCCATCTGTTTTATATCCTTAATTTTTTTTTCGTACCACCAAACATGGCTCAAGTATCACTTTGACATATTAGATTTGTTTTCGTTAGCTTTCTTTTTGCCCGAGTATTCTTGTGCCTGACTTTTTAAACCTATAAAAATGGTTGATTGGTAATTAAAAAATTTCACAGAGCGGTTTGTCCAGATTTCCTTTAGAAAAAAATCTTTATTATGTGCAATCACCATGATTACATACAGAGTCCTTTGTTCTGGCTTTTCTTGGTAGGATCCAGGGCAGTTGTGCTTTTTGTGTGCTTTCTGTTTTCGCCCGCAATGTGTTGCATCACTCTCTTTCCTTTTTTGCATATTTTTTACTAAATCTGGCCATCCAAGATCGTTAGAATGGCATATGAACCACTCAACTTTTAAATGACTTGTAACTAGGGATTGGTTAAAGTAATAATATGCATATGACTATTAACGAAGCAAAAGGAGCATGACAAATGTAAGGTGGACTTCTGATAACCCATGGGCTGATCTAACAGGATTCATGAGCATTTGGGCTTAATGTTTTCTTAGACACCCCTGCATCACAGGAATATGATTCGAATTTGAATATGGAAATTGGTAATGATGGATATTTCAACTTGGCTTTGTGAAGTAGAGCATTCTGCAGTTGATGTGGCAAATTTTGTTACTTTTGTTTTGAAGATTATAAATATTAGATCTCCCCATCAACCTGAACCCTCCTTACATTTAAGACATCAACATAGAAGTTGTGTTTTATGCTTGGTAACTTGATATTTTCACAGTCATCTGCAGTACAGTCTGGGGAGCAGATAATGCAGTATGGTCAATCAATTGATGATGGAGAAACTACCCAAGGACATATTCCCCGTCTTCTTGGTCTGTACATATCCTTTTTAAACTTTTATTAAGCACTTAGTTGGTTGTATCAAATGCTGTTGACTTCCTTTTTCAAAGAAGCGTATATTCAATTTCTGTAATATTTGGAACCTTTTTGTAAAAAGTACTGTTCTGATAAGCCAAAAGTTGTGAATCAGTGATATAAAGAGTTTCTTGTGATTTTGTGTTGGTATTCCAGTGTGAATCAGTTTGAGGGGTTTCTTGTGATGTACTTGCATAGATCTAAAAACTATATTTATGTTGTTTCTATATAAGAATTTTTATTTGTGCTGTTAATTTTTGGGGTTTACCTTTTGACATTTAGATCGCACCTAAAATTATTTTTGACAAAATTCTGTATGACTTTCGATTTTCAAATGTTGAACTGTATATCGTCTAATAGAACAGTAAGCCTGTAGATTAGCTATTTGGATTATAAGTGCTATTCAATGGCTAAATGCTTGTAAAAATTGTTTTGATGAAGAAGAAAATTAGTGAGTCTTATAGCCTACATCACTCTCTCTCTCTTACAGTTCTTTTATCTTTTTGTACACCAGATATTGTGTTGTATCTTTGTGAGAATGAACACATTGAAGGCGGCATGATATTTCAGCTGTTGGAAGACTTAACAGAAATGTCTACTATGAGAAACTGCAAAGACGTTTTTGGTTATATAGAGAGTAAACAAGATATATTAGGAAAGGTTTGTGTATTTAAAATGTCAAAAGATTTATATTCTTTGTTTTTTTTTTCGTTTTGGTTTTGTATTTGATTTTTAAAGTTTTTGATTATCTCTATTTGCATTCTATTTTAATCTATATGGATCCTCTCATGCAGCCAGAGCTTTTTGCTCGAGGAAAACTTGTGATGTTGAGAACATGCAATCAACTTCTTCGTCGCCTGTCAAAGGTGGTGTTACTAATCATACTAGTCATCACTGGATTACAGTCTACTTTCATTTTTTAAAATTTTCCCTATATTGTCATTTTTGTTTGCTTTTCAAACAGTAAATTATATATGCATGCCATTCAAAATTCACATCTTTTTTGTGATGTTTATAATTAACTAACCCGTGCTCAGTTTGATCTGTGTTATACTCAAAACTTGTGATGGTACGTGCATATTTGACATTGTAAACTTCAGGATGGTGCATTGTGATGTTGACCTCGACTTAATATTCAAACCTTACCAAATTTAGAAGTTGCATTCATTATTCTTGCTGCTCTGCACAATTTTTTAGATTTCAGTTTTTAGTTCATGAATGAGGATTGCTATTTTTGGCATTTACTTTATGCGGCATTGTTTGTGAAGTGAAAAGCTGCCTTTGTTAGACCCTAATTGAATAGATTACATGGTGTGATAAATGTAAAAGGTATTCGTGCCCAAAGAATCTTACTTTTTATGGAGAAACTCTTCTAGAAAACACCAAAGGAACAGCATAACTAGCGTTCAGTTATGCAAGAAAATATTTTTATGAAATATGGTGAGAATATGTTTCTGGTCTGAGAATTATGTGTCTGTAAATGAGAAGACTGTAAATTGAAAAATGTGGTGTAAACTCATGCTGATGTTTTTGTTTTTTCTTTTGATTTTTGAAATAATAATGATTTTAAATAAGTGTTTTAGCTACACATCTTATAGTTCACTATTTGATAAAAGTAAACTGTAACTACTTTGATAATAAAATTTCACTTACAAAACTTATTGTTATAGTCTTGTTTCGTACTAATGTCTTTGAACTTGATTTACAGGCAAATGACGTGGTATTTTGTGGACGAATTCTAATGTTTTTGGCTCACTTTTTCCCATTATCTGAGCGTTCAGGTACGTGCTTGTCTTCAACCGTTGTCTTCACTTTTAGTTTAATTTCTCTGAACCCTGCTCTTCACTTGTTCTTTTAAGTAATTTTGTTGCTCTTCTGATTAACGCTCGCAGCTGTGAATATAAAAGGAGTTTTTAACACATCAAACGAGACAAAATATGAGAAAGACCCCCCTGATGGTATATCCTTGCTAGGCAGTTGCTTGATATCTTAACTTTGACGTCTACATATATATAATATGATGGTATATAGTTTGTATAGCATTTCTTGTGAATGTAGGTCTCTTAAGAATATATTTTAATGTTTTACATTTTTCAGGAATTTCCATCGATTTCAACTTCTACAAGACATTTTGGAGTTTACAGGTAAACTTTGCCGCTTGGAAGGATAAATTATGACATTAAAAAAGGGCCTAGGGGTTAGAATTATGCTTTCCCCTCCATTTTGATTTAAGTTTTGAACTTAGGGCCTAGTGTCCATATATAATGCTATTGTTATATAGTTTACAAAGTCATTTAAGTCAATACTCAGACTTTGTTTGTGTAATTCTTCTTGTAAACAGATATCATTATGCTAAAGAAACCTCTCTAGTTTGCCTATAAACTCTTTTGTGAATTGCCTGGTTGAAACAATCCCCATTCCCCATGTTCAAAGGTTAGGATATGGTGTTGGAGATTTGCTTTAATTATTTTATTATTACTTTATCCTAGGTTTCGGAGATTTTCAATATCCCCATATCAAGTCTTGTCGTATCCTGTATCTGGTGTCTGCGTGCAACATAGGTACCAGGGATAGTCCTCTTTATTATGGTCCCCATTAATAAAATTGTCCATCACTGTACTCTCCTTAATTTGTATTTTCTGTTTGCTTTATTGACAAAATTTTGTTTCCTATCATAAAAGGACAAAAAGATTAGCATCCCTATACTTTTGGCATCACCGAATTACTAACATAATGTTTGCTATTGCTAACAATTATGTTATGTGGGGCAAAAAAATTTCAATGATTCTTTCAATTGTTACTGACTTTTCACATGGAAATGTAAATAATTTTAAAACTTGTTTTAGTTTAGCGTTCATGAAACTGTGCATCAGAATATTAGACCACTATTTATGCCAATCTGTGTTCGATAAAATCAGATTAAGAATTAGAGAGAGATTACAGACAAGGTTCTCAGTTTTGATGGGCTTGGCATTTCACTTATAAGATTATGTATTATCTTTTTGTCCGAATTCTAAGCTACCTAGGTAAATATTTTTCCTTTTCTGTTTCATTTCCTTATTTTTTTATTTTTGAGTTTTCCAGAATTGCCTAATTATTGGACAAATTCACTTATGAGCATTAAAAAAGTGAGCATGCATAAGCATGGATGTCGGAGCCATTGGATTGCTAGATGCGTTCTTCTTATTTAAAATCTTAGCAATCCAATGGCTCCAAATGTCCATGCTTAAACATTTGCTCACTAATTAGTATTCATATATAGTTTATGAAAAAACCAGTTCGTACAATGAAGCAAAAAGAACAGAAAGCTTACCATTTGGGAGATTACGCTTGCTGTATTTACTGCTGCCTGCTGGGGATGATGATTCAGTTTAATTTAGAGAGAGAGAGAGAGAGAGAGAGAGAGAGAGAGAGAGAATTATTGATTGACATGGCATTTCCTAAATTTTCATTCAAAACTTTTATGTGTTAAGCAATTTTCTGTAATTTTTGTTGATTTTTTTTTATATTTCCACCATCGACATTTCCATACGTCTAGATTATATTTCCATGGGCACCGATGTTTTCATCTTTGGTTGTCAGCAGGTATTGATGTTTTATTAAAGTTTCAGCACTAGTATTAGAGCTCTCAAATAGGCTTCAATGTTAATGCCTGTTTGGAAAACTTCAGCCTGGAGTTGTTTTAGTTAACTTGGATAGGTGGTATCTCAAATTATATCTGCTGAGAAACTGGTCTGGTTGGGTTTTCAGGAACACTTTTGTAACCCTCCTTCCTTAACTCTTGCTCCTACCAAGTGGAAGAAATTTACATCCGGTTTAATGGTATAATAATTATCTTCTGATATCTTCTTTTTTTTATCTTCATGGTATAACAGTTTTTCTTTCTCTGTTTCATTACTCAGCCAAATAATATTTTCTTGAATTTGTTGTTTAGGTTGTCCTGAATACATTTGAAGCTCAACCATTAAGTGATGAAGAGGGAGATGCCAATAGTTTGGAGGAGGAGGCGGCAAATTTCAGCATAAAATATCTTACGAGCAGTAAACTAATGGGTTTGGAGGTTAGTAATGCTGGAGTGTTGACTGACTTAGATTTATTTTTATAGTGGACCATTATTTTGATTTAAGATCTTTATTTTTCCTGTTTTCTGGTGGGCACAGTTGAAGGATCCGAGTTTCCGACGTCATATTCTTGTGCAGTGCCTCATATTGTTCGATTATCTGAAGGTAGCAGTTGAAACGGTCTTAATATTGATTCTGGGAAATATTACCATAACTCCTTGACCTTTGGGCTAGTTCTATTGCCCTTTTTCAACTTTCAAATTGATCTGTCACCCCAAAATATTGATAGTACTTTAATATGGTAAATGTTCTTACTAACTCTTATTTGCTTGTAGGCCCCTGGAAAGAGTGAAAAAGATTTGCCTTCTGATAGCATGGTTAGTGCTGTGATTGTGTCTTGTTAAGTTTTGTAACCTTTTTTTACAAAGAAACTTTATGTTGGCAGCTCTGTTTATAGTAAAAGGTGTCACTAGAAAATTGGATTATTGGGTATTGTGACGACATATTTGTTGGACAATTGAGAAGCCTTAGGTGTATTATGTTTGTTTTGTCTCCAAATTTAGGGATTAGAAACAAGGATGGATTAAAGTACTAAAAACTGAAGTCTTTCCATAACTTTTATGAATGTAATATCATACCAGGCATCTACATCAGTTTTGTCTGGAGTTGAGTGATTTCGCTAATTTACTCATGCAATTCAATGAGTTCATTGTATTCTTTTGATATCAAAAGCATATGATGGTCTCTAGGCAATTCGATTTGGCAGTCTTTTGCTTCTATGCCTAGAAGCAATCTTGTTTCCTACTTCAGTTGCAGTTGGAATATTATCTTATCTTCATTAATACTTGAATCCTTACCTATGGACATCACTTTAAGCACGAAAACTGAATGAATTTGTGTGGTATGCCTTTCACTCTCTGGTTAAGAAGATTTACTTTTATTGGCACATGGTCAGATGCATACAATTTTGTAAGATGTGATAAAGTCTACTTGAGTATATCTGTGCTATACTGAGGTCTCCTAAAGAACTTTTCCTCGTTGATTCCAGAAAGAGGAAATAAAATCTTGTGAGGAGCGTGTGAAAAAGCTGCTTGAAATGACTCCACCCAAGGGGGAGAATTTTCTTCATAAAATTGAGCATATATTAGAACGTGAAAAGAATTGGGTGAGTGCTGTCCGGCCTTGGTCACTATTATTTAGAAAATGTTATCACTGTTGTTAAGCATAGTTGGTGTTTAAATATGCTTAGGTATGGTGGAAACGTGATGGTTGTCCACCATTTGAGAAGCAGCCAGCAGAGAAGAAAGTGGTCCAAGAAGGAGCCAAAAAACGGTATGCAACTTATTGGTTTTTTATTTGGGTCCTATTATGCTTTTTAATGTGTTTTACTTTAACAAGAAACAAATTGAACCTTTTTTTTTCCTTACTGTGTAAGGTCTTAATAAGAATAAGCAGATAGAAAGACAACTCATCCTTTTGGTGTGGGTATGTTTTGTGAGTCGGATTTGCCTCCTATTTAGATCACTATATTCTAAACTTTTGGTGAAGGCATTGACAAATCTATTTGATATTTTAGTTCTTTTTGGGTCAAAATTTTGGGTGACTGATGCAACATGGGGTGAATAATAATTCTTCCTGTGATTGCAACTTCCGAAATTTCGGTGATACTTCCATGAAATTTTCCATAACAGAACAAGAACTTGGAAATTACTTCTGTATTCAGAATCATCTAGACTTATCGACACTTTTCAGTAGGAGGGCTGCAAGTACTGGAGTGAGAGAGACAAAGAGAACCAACAGGCCAAAAAAATAGGAAGCTACGGTGGTTTTTAGATGAGGTCTCCTTTCCAACTAGTGTAGATAATAACGTTGTGGTGGAGATTATTTAACTTTAATTTACAGATGAATTTCATGGTCTTTTTCCGGGGCATGAGACTGTGGAGGTCTCCCATCTTCAGTTCGCCGACGATACCATACTTTTCATAGAGGATAAGGAAGAGTACTGGAATAATCTACTTCAGATTCTGGATTTGTTTTGTTTCATGTCGGGAATGAAAATCAACAAATCGAAATGTTCTCTAGTTGGCATTAATCTTGACGACGGGTTGGTGAATGGGCTGGCAGGGGCTTGGGGATGTGAAGTGGGGACCTGGCCTATGTCGTATTTAGGCCTTCCCCTAGGTGGGAACCCCAGAGCAATCAGGTTCTGGGACCCCGTTGTGGAAAAGGTAGAGAATAGATTACAAAAATGGAAGAGAGCATGCTTATCCAAAGGGGGAAGACTCACAATGATTCAAGCAGTGTTGAGTAGTATTCCGATTTACTACATGTCCCTTTTTAGGATTCCCATTGGAGTAGCCAATAGAATTGAGAAGCTTATGAGGGATTTCTTGTGGGAAGGTTTGGATGGGAAAAAAAACCACGCTGTAAGCTGGGAGGTGGTGGGTAAAGCAAAACTCTTTGGAGGACTAGGGGTGGGTTCGTTGAAAGCTAGGGGAGAGGCTCTGCGGGCCAAATGGTTGTGGCGGTTTCCTATCGAAACTCATGCTCTTTGGCACAAAGTAATCAGAAGTATTTATGGAATGGATTCAAATGGGTGGGATGCCAAACCTGCAATTCGAGGATCTAGTCGCAGCCCTTGGAGAGAGATTTCTAGTGGTTTTGAGTTGTTCCTTCAAGGCTGCGTCTTCGTGGTAGGAGGTGGAGTTAGAGTCAGATTTTGGGAAGATGATTGGAGCCGGGGGGGTGTTCTAAAAGACGTGTTTCCAAGACTATTCAATCTGTCCAGGAAGCAAAACCACAATATTTCCTCCTTTACGGACTCGATTGGATCCCCTCTCACTTGGGACTTTGGTTTTCGAAGGAATCTAAATGATTCAGAGATTGTGGAGGTGGCTAGATTGTTGGACTTACTAGAGGGAGTGAGATTGGCCACTTCCAGATTGGATAAGAGAAGATGGAAGCTTGATCCATCCGGTGTTTTCTCCTGTCACTCTCTCTGTACTCATATTCAGAATAGGGGCGAAAGGGAGGTTTTCTCTCCGTACACTCAAATTTGGAAGGCCAAGACTCCTCCGAAAGTTAAGATCTTTGTTTGGCAAGCGGTGTTGGGAAAACTAAATACAGGTGATTCACTACAGAGACATTGTCCCTATATGTGCCTTAGTCCGCATTGGTGTGTTTTATGTAATATGGCTGGGGAAAGCGTGGACCATATCCTCCTTCATTGCCCTTACTCTCTAAAGGTGTGGGAGACGTTATTGAAGGAAGTTAACACAGTGTGGGTAATACCGAAAGGATGCTTTGACCTTTTTTCCATCAGATTTGATGCTTTGGGAAGGGGAAAGAAGGCTAAAATTTTATGGGGCAGCTTGATGCAGGCAGTGGTCTGGAATCTTTGGTTGGAACGTAATAGGAGAATTTTCGAGGATTATAAGGGAGTGGGAATGGTAGAGTTATGGGAAAGAGTGAAGTTTTGGGCTGCTCTTTGGGCATCAACTTCTCACGCTTTTAAGGATATATCCTATCCTACAATTATGCGAAATCTTTTAGCTGTAGTATCTTAAGGAGTGTCTTATGTCTGGCTGGTTTTCTGTGTTGAGTGGCTTTGAGTCTGTTTTTTGGCAAGTGTGTCTGTTTGGTCTGTGTCCTAAATGTCATCATTTTTTCCATTCAATTTTGAATAAAAAGTGTTTCTATTCAAAAAAAAGAAAGACAAACCTACCCTTATAAAAAAAGTTGGTAATACAAATGTGAAGGGTAGGTTATTTTATAATATGCTATCATCTGTGCGCGAAAATTAAAAAATTTACAGTCTAGATTAAGCTACTGTATTTTAATTGAAATTAAGATACGCAGGTTTTTTTTTTTTACATGTAATTATGATGGAGTTCTGATTATATTTTTTACTTTTCAGCCAAGAACCTTTTAAGGATCTATGTTTCTCAACCCCTATAGTCCAAAGCACACTATGATTATTTTATGGGATTCCATAAACTAAATCATCTATGTAATTTCATAAAGAAATGAAATTAATTATTTGCACATTACTTCTGAAAACAGACATGGATATTAACAATATACTATTTTATGAATCGGATACAAAACAGTTTATAGAAACCACAAAATCTTAATATGCATGTATCAATTAGAGGATTAGGAGTTTTCATACTTTTAAGAAATGACTAATATACATATGAAATGATTAGTTGTGCTCCATGTCTTTCCGCTGATATATAGCATTAGGTCTGTTTGTTGTAATGTAACTTTTCATATAAAATATTTAATGAGTTTGCACTGTCCATTTAGATTTTTAAGAAACATACTTAATCCCTTTTTATCTTTATTTTTCTAAATTCAACAGTAGGCCGAGATGGAGAATGGGAAATAAAGAACTCTCTCAGTTGTGGAAGTGGGCAGATCAGAATCCGGTATGCAGGATTTCAGTTAATCTGTAACGCAAGCCTACTGCTTATGTATGTTATATATATTATAGCAACTTGCTGATTCTTCTGACCAACTTTCCTTTCTGAATTAGTACATTTACACTCATAAAAGAATGAAGAATCGATGTATAAATTATGGCATTATATACTATCAATTAGCGCACTCTGCACAGTTGCAGATGTGTAACACCATAAAGACAGCAAGTTAGTGGCACGAAACATATTTTTTAGGTTGCAACTAAGCAAATGTAGTTCAGATTCATTCTGGAAATGAAATGGGAAAAAAATCAACTAGGGTGGACCAAATATGTGGTTTTAAAGATAGCATGTTTCTATATACTTCCTCTCTTTGGTTTTCTTGGCCACAAATTGGACAGAAATGGATAACTCACAGAAAACTTATAAATTGAATTTGGAAACAATAGTAGAGGTTCATTTTTCACGTTTTTCTGTTCTACTCTTATTATAAAGAAGAAAAAAGATTGCATATCGAGTCAGTGAGGAAGAAACATGAAACTATGTAGTAAGATTTTCCTTTCAGTCATGTTAACTACAAAATTAATTTGAATAAATTTGCTCAAGAGACTTTTGACATGTCCAGAATGCTTTAACTGATCCTCAACGTGTTCGAACACCTGCCATCACTGATTACTGGAAGCCCCTGGCTGACGATGTAAGCACTCTTTGCTTCTCAATGTCCAACTAATATGCTGTTTGTGTGTGTATATGTGCTCTCCCTCACTCTTGTCCCGTCTGATATTATGAGATTTTCATTTTCAATGTAACTTTTTATTAAAGATGAAGTTCATTTCTTTAAATTACAGATGGATCCAGCAGCTGGAATAGAAGCTGAATATCACCACAAAAATAACCGAGTGAGTTTTGGTTCTTAGACTTCAGTTATCATATTCAATTTTGTGGAGTATATTGTCAAGACTGATTTACACTGGTTCTACATGAGCTTATTACTATCAAGCAACTTGTATTTCTTCTCATGACATGCTTTTGCAAGATGACTTTTTTGAATCCTCGGACTATAGTTTCTGATGATAATGGAAGCTATGTGAAAAAAGGGGGCTTGTTTGTCCTACAACCTACCGAATACAACAAAGAAAAAATCTTCTTTTGTCATAACTGTTTGGAAAAGTTACAAAATATAAAAGGTTTGGCTTGCCATTGAGCCAGGCACACTTACTTCTGATAGATAACATGAGACAATCTTTTTATTGTCTTTTGCTGAATCTAGTATGGAGTTAGTGATCAATGTATCATTTGGGTGATAGAGACTATTGAACTATCTCTGTGGAATTGTGCTGTTTCAGCCTCTTTTTGGTAGTGGTGGAAAGAAACAAAAGAATGTTTTATCAGAGAGAAAATTAGGTGACTTCCGTTTGATATAGAATCGGATTTTGCTTGTCTTTGGGCTTACATCTCTAAACATTTCAAGGATTACCCCCTTGATCCTTCTGGATTGGTCTGTTTTCTTCTCATAAGCTCGTGGTTTAGGTTTTCCTTGTTTGGCTTTTGAGGCCTGTTTTATTTCTTTTTTCTCATTGGCTGTCCTTGGTTTTTGCTGTTTCTGATGGATCTCCATCTTGTTTTATACTCTCTTTTTTTTCTTTCTTTTATGATGTAAATAGAGCCCAACATATGAAGTAACCCAAGCAAATAGGTGTGCTTCAAACTGTTACAGCTAGGTGAGAACTACTCCAAACATTGTTGGAGCTTAGATTTCTAAAGTGAAATCAAGGAGAACCTTTAGGAATTTTCACAAACTGATAATACTTCCATACAAATTCTTCTAGGTTGAGTCCTCTGACCACAAGGCTTATCCATCTAATAATACAACATTAATTACCCTAGACCTTTCCAGGAGGATCCTTCAGAGTTGCCATACAGCGTTAATAACCAGTTCCCAGGCAACATTAATAACATCTAGACAAACTCTTAGACTCCCAATAGAACATTAATAACAATAAACAGATTCCCCATTCATAATTAATAACAATGAGACAGGCCCTTTTAAACATATGGTAAACTTGTCCAGGCATCTCTCAAAGATCTTGTAAGATCTATTTACTACATCATTTTATAACATTCCAGTTTCTTATATAAAATGAAAAATCGTTTGTCCTTCAAACTTTTGGACTGAAATATCAAAAATTTGTTTATATACATATTTGATTTACTAAGCCTGTCAGTTTGAAGTAATCTTGAATTTATGATATATATATTTAAAAAAGAAAGAAAAATAGTAGATCTTTATCAAACATTGGTAAGAGTATTTTTAAAATTCATCAACTCTCTTCTGCAAAGGTTTGTCGCTATTCTAAGACTGACATGAGTGCAAAGGAACCAATTGCTCTGAGGAAGGGTTCTGGGTTCAAGTCCTAGCATCCGTATAGTGTGTACGAGTTTAGTATACTTTCGCCCCTCTCAATAGGAAAGGTCCCAAAAATAAGAAAGACTGACATGAGCAACAAGGTATCTTGAAAAAGTAACTGGCCTCCGGAATCAGAAGATAAATATGAAAATCGTTTGAAAAGGATTTAGATAAAGGTTGTGGACTTTTGACTACTGTTCATTGTTAATATGGAGTGCTATTTTATTTAGTAGTTTGGATTGTTTAACGGCTTCACCATGTGATTAAATGTGTGTTACTTTGTTTTTCTTAATTATTTGAAGTTATTGGAATCGTTGAAACTAGCATTCAACTTACAAGTAGATTTTATTTTATCCTATACTAAATTTTCATTATGCAGGTTTATTGCTGGAAAGGTCTTCGATTTTCAGCTAGACAAGACTTGGAAGGGTTTTCTAGAGTATGATTAATATGACAACCGACTATGCAAATATTTTAAAATATATGATTAATTTTTTTCACTGAGCTTACACGAATTGTATTGATGTAATTGCAGTTTACTGAATTTGGTATTGAAGGAGTAGTGCCTCTGGAACTTTTGACACCTGAAGAGCGGTCTAAATACCAAGCTAAACCAAATGACAAGTCTAAACGTGCTAAAAAGGAAGAAACAAAGGGTGCTGCACATCAAGTAGAAGAAAATCAGGTATGATTGGCATTGTGGTGGATTTCTAGATTTTATGTTTCTTGAGATCTTTGATTCCTGTGAAAGTTGAACATGTAAATGACAAAATATTATGTATGTGTGAAATAAATATGTATATTTTGTGTTCCTTTTTTCCTTTGGAGAGGTGTTTTCAAATTTGAGGATCCGGTAAATTCATGCATGCGTATCAAGAGTGGAAGTGTTCTCCAAGAATTTTCACTATAATATTTTGTTTTTAATTTTACTGAAGATTGCAACAGCTGCAAATGAGATAGATGGTGAAGGAATCAGAGCTGTGCTTGAAGCCTCAGTGACACCAACGGACACTGATGCCACTGTTGCAACTGGTGACATGTCCCAAGGTGGCAGTCCAATCCCCGATGAACATCAGAAGCAAAGCTCTGATACGGATTTAGGTCAAGAGGCAGGCCAGATGGAAGCAGATGCTGAAGTCGATGCTGGGATGATTGATGGTGGAATGGACACGGAGGTTGATTTAGATCCAGTTGGCTGAGAAATGTAATGGATGGTTTTTTCTTGTTTGCATAGCATATGTAAGAGGAGTATTTGATTGAAAGGAGGTGGCATGTTTGACAATCCTACAATAGGAACCAAATTTGACAAATGTTTTGTAACTAGGATGTGGTATGTTCCTTGGTCAATTAACTTGTACTATGGCATGTATTTCATGCTCTTCCGAGTTTGCGACCAACTTTCAATGAATTCGGAAATCTATGACCAACCTACTCCATAAATGCTGAGGGCACTTGTAATCCAAGAAACTCGGAAATCTATGGTAAATTACCTTCTGTTATGGCACGCCAACTTGTCCCCCACACCAATCTGGTTGGTTCCCCACGCAAGGCAAGCCAACATTCCCTCTTTTTGGCTAAGTTGGCCGATGAAAGGATTTTTTGGTCCTTCTCTTGAGATGCGTAGGCGTGTCACCACCACCAAGCCACTTGATGGCTTGGATGGAAAGATGGAAAGATTATGTGAGTGTGTTTGCACTTCTGAGTTCTAATCAAACGATTGATCGGCTAAGTAATGAATCTTCTCTTGGCTTAGGTTTTTTCACTTTCTCGGGGTCATGGATGATTGAGCTTTGTATGACTATTTTTAGAATTTTGGTGATAAGTGCAATGAATGTAAATGTAAGAAATGAAATGACAGAAATGTAAATGTGATAAAATAGATTAAAGCTAAAGACGTGAATTAAACTTGAATTTAAAGACAACTGAAATTAAATTGCAAGGAAGTAAACTTACACTAGGAAAATGAAGAACTTGGATAATCTAAAGTGCTTGAAAGATAAAATCCTAGACTAGGAATTGAAAGGGGCAAGATAAAAAGATAGGTTTTGTGTGTTGAGTCAGAGGTCCTTTTCTCTTCTTCTGAGCAACTATCTATAGAGCTTTCTTCAGTTCATGGATTTGACCATTAAAAGGCCTCAACTGGCTTTCATTGAAAATCCTTCCAAGATTAATGTCTTTCAAAGCTTTAGGCATTTAATGAGAACTTCCCAACTACCACCAACCCATATGGTTGGTCAATGAAATGGCATTGGAATTGTGAAACTCTTCTCTTGATTTGAGATGCAATAAGTCTTTGGTGACTAATCCTTCCGTCTTTGGACTCTGCTAGTTGCAAGGAGACATCTGTTGAAACTTCCAATCCTAACATCATGGGTTAAGCCTGGACTTGTGGATGTTTGGTATGACATCTGGTGGAATATTGTGACTCCGAGAGCTCTTGCCTTGCCTCAACCTGACTTGGAGTTTGGCGACCTGGACTTTGGTTTCTAACCCGGCTTGGTCTTTAGTTCCCAATCCGACTTGGACTTGGAGTCTCGACTTTAAGTCCAGCACGATAGAGCCATCAGCTACACTTGGTATATAACTGCCATTCCTGGTTATGATTGTAAAGAATATTATGAAGCAATATTTCACATTTGAGATTCAAATTCTGGATGACAAGGATGTCAGGCGACGTTAAGTTTGCCTTGCCAATGTTTATATCTGTTCATCAATTGCCTTGTGGTCATTTTTCTTGTTCTCTTTGTATTAATTCTTTCCCGTTTGGTATTTCAGGGAATGTTCTGGTAAGAAAATGATGGCTGCTTCTTAATTATGCTTCTCAAAGATATATCTATTTCAGTAGCAATTCTAAGCTTTTTGGTTGCCTTTTAAAGGTCCATTTGGTGTAAAATTGGCATATTTCATGATGACTTACTTGCACCGAGTTTCTCCAGCTGCATCTTTGACATTATTAACAATTTGTGATCAGCATTTGCTGGACATGTACCTATTTATGGGGAAAATCATGTACCAAGGGAGGATACTAGGGTTACTTGTTTATTTGTTTATCTGCAACACGCTTGCGGCTGAGGATGGATGATGAGGGCTGCAATCAAATACAGTTTGATTTTTACCAGGAGGAGATTAAGTTGTACCTTCCTATGCAGGTAATAAGATATATATGTTCTGATTCATACCAGTAATTATGCTTCTGTACCTTTCGTTTTCTGTCCACTCATGCTAATAATGTTTGTGCTGCACAGAGAGCATCAACAAAGGAGAGATCAAACTCATGGGAGCTGGTTTTTTGAGACTCTTAGTATTTTGATTTTCTAGTGCCCCTTTTACTAGAGTACTGAACACGTACTATCAGTTCTAGTTGTGCATGTTTGTCAATCTTTGATCACCCAGACGTTGTAGAGAATTCAGAAATTCCAATTTGTTTCTGTTTCAATTCTAAGAATAGAATAGAAATGCAGCATTTTGTAGTAAAAGTAGAGATATGTGGCAATTGATGATATTTTCATTCAGAATATTCAATGACAAGTCACTGTACATATGCATGTGACAATAATAACCAAGGCAAGGGCATGTGATGTATATATATTATATGAATTATTATGAAATTTTTTTGTAACATTGTGGTACATATATGCGGTTTTCTTAATATTTTTTAAAGTAAGTTAAACTCACTAATGGGGTGTTCATTAAAAGTTTTTGGTGTGCTCTTAAGTGGTCCAGAGTTCAAGCTCTTGTGATACATGTTTCCCTTATCGTTCATAATTTTGACACCAACTGAAAAAAAACGTAAAATGAAGTTAAACTCAAGTAGCCCATGTGAAAAAAATATAAACTTATCCAGAAGAAGTCAACTACTGGGTTTTTTTTTTTTTGGTTCAAAAAGTCAACTACTGTTTTGGCAAATGAAAATCCCAAACTAGTATTTAACCCAAATTTTCTAAATAGGAATAGGATTTTTTTTAATGTTTCTTTACCAATTTAATATTTTATTTCAAAGAAAATGGAAATGAAAACATGAAATGAAACAGGTCTTTTTCTCACCCACTCTCTCTCATTCATCTCTATGTGTCCGTCCGTCTGGGACTGTTTGAGACCTCGAGTCCATCTCTCCTCCAATGGCGTATTCTTCACTGGTGTTGTACTATTTGTCCCAGCGGCGTGTTCCAGGCCGCTCATTTAGACATTTTTTCTTCATACCGACAAGCTTAGCTCTCGTAACCTCTCTCCTCATTCTCTTTTACATTTCCACAACCTCCAATCTCTTCGCTCATCATCACCCCAACTCAAAAACCCCACTTCAAATCAATTCTTCTTCTTCTTCTTCATCTGCCTTTTCTTTCACAATTCTACATCACAAAACTTCCTCCACACCCTTTGCAATTGAAGCTCCTTTGACAGAGGATGGTGGTGGTCAGAGAATTGAGAGTCAACGCTCACTAGGACCTCAACTGGGCTCAGATGGTATGTCAATCTTGAATCTTTGCTTCTGGGACTTGGCTAATTATGCTAATTGTTTTGATATGTTTGATGGGTTATCGTTATATTCATATGCAGACTTCACTTTTGGACAAAACCAAGAAAATTTTCATTTTCTAATTTGGCAATTGGCATTGTAACGGTAATTATAAGCTTGTGATTTGGGCAAAGAAACTTTAATATGAAAAAATTATAGGCTTGAAGAATTTACCAATTGAATATAGAATGAACAGCGCCAAAGAATGATCAGCAGAAAATGACATGCTTTAAGAAAATCCTGGAGTCGATAGTTTTGTCTTTCATCTAACCAGGACACAGGATCATGTACTTGTCCTACTTCTATTGCATAAGGCCTTGTACAGTTACACAACTAAGTACCCTTATCATTGAATTGATACATTGCTTCTTTCCACTAAAATTTTAAATACATGCAGTCTGCTCAGTGGTTACAGCACAATCTACTAATGCATTTCATGGTTCTCGGATTACATATCGTAAGTTGAATCTAATTAGGAGGTTGGAAAGATTTTAGCGGGTCCATGTGAAGATGTCCAATTAAAAGATGTTTTTCCTAGCTATTGATTGTTGGATGTGGGACTTCTCAAAGGTGTTCACCTGAATATGTTAACAAAAACAACTTTTGGCATGGGTGGGTGAGTGGCAGGTTAGAGAAAGTTTCTGTTAACTTTCATGTTTTTAATTTCAGTATCTGGAAACTGTTCGTTTTTATGGTTCAGGAAATCATGTCAATAACAACGAGGTGTTCCATGATAGACATATCTTTCTGGAAGACTATAAAGAAATGAAAAGGAGCTTTAAGATATATGTTTATCCTCACAGGAAAGATGATTCCTTTGCAAATGCACTTTTGCCTGTGGATTCTGAACCTGGGGGTAATTATGCAAGTGAAAGTTACTTCAAGAAGGTCCTTATGAAAAGTCGTTTCATCACAAATGATCCAACCAAGGCAGATCTTTTCTTTCTGCCTTTCTCAATTGCAAGGTTGCGACATGACCCTAGAGTTGGTGTGGGAGGTATCCAAGATTTTATAAGAGATTACATATTCAATGTTAGTCAGAAGTACCAATATTGGAACCGGACAGGTGGAGCAGATCACTTTTATGTTGCTTGTCATTCTATTGGGCGGTCAGCCATGGAAAAAGCAAGTGAAGTGAAATTTAATGCCATTCAAGTTGTGTGCTCTTCAAGCTACTTCCTTCCTGGTTACATACCACACAAGGATGCATGTCTGCCGCAAATATGGCCGAGAAAAGAAGAGCCACATGACCTTCTTTCATCAAATAGGTGGATATACTTTCGTCAATTGCTATTTCTCTTTTGTTAAAGCATGGTCTTATATTTTCCATAGTTAATATTAGATTTTGGAGAAGCAAGCATGAAAAAGGTGATTCTTTTTTCTTCTTTTCTTAATATTGCTTTTTAGTGTTTCATTTTAATATGATCAGTCAAGACCTTCATCAAAAGTGAGTTTTTCCTTGCATCCTTTTGAGCCTCCTTGATATCTACTGATGTGTGGGTAGCAGTTCTCTCAGATTGGTGGGTTGCACTCATCTTGCAGTAATAAATGCAATGTTCTCTTTATAAATTTATTTTGGTAGTTTCTATCAGCTGGGCTGTTTCCTTTTCAAAATATGCTGCTGAATTATAGCTCATTGAAGATAGTTGGTACTTCCCCCAAGGAATATGATAGATAGTTGGTATGAACCACAAGGTTAAATATACGTATGTTCAACTATGTGCACTATTCCGATTGCGCCTGTACCCCTCTTTCATCGTTTCTTCAGCCTTTGGGTTTTGGGCCTGCATGATGATGATGAGGTGATGCAGAGGAAGTCAGAGTATTTTGGTTCAATTATATCATTTATTGTGTCTAAGAAAATAAATTTCTAATAGAGGCCAGGTTTGTAAAACAACAATGTTAATGTTCTCTTCTTTTTCTTGGAAACTGATGTTTACTTGTGCT